CCACAATATCAGCAAGACTGCAATTTCTTGGTATAAATTTGATAATCGCCTGAATACAATATAAACTGGCATTTTCTTACACAATTCCGCGGCTTCAAATTTCAGACCTGACTGAAGAAAAAACTTTATTCCTTTCTATCCAGACAAAAAGCCTTAATCTCTTTCCCCTTTAAATGAAGACCAAAATACTTTTCATTTTTGCTCAATGAACTTGCAACACAATGCATTCACTCCTTTCTCAGAAACCAGCTCACTTTCACATGCTTCAACTAGTCACATTTTGTACTCAAACATATTCACTAATAGTTTAATTAATATTTTAATATTAGACAAAATTCTACTGCTATGAATTTCCAGCACAAAACAGTGAGCACCTCTTACTGATGTGGTCCTGACCTGTCATGGCACTAAGATAGGTTTCTTCACTAGACCGAAATATTTTTGTTCAATATCTGTGAATAATTTATTATTCATCTATAAATTCTGTCTTATTATTATATCACCCACAATGAATATATTAAATGTATCACAACCCATTTAATTGGTATTTTAAATATAATCACATAAGTTATGAGATCGCGCGAGTGCAAATGGGAATATGTAATGTTATTACACTGAGGTCCTATTCTGTGTTATCCAGGACCCAAGAGAATAAATATTTTTAAGGATCTGGACGAGGGTATCAATAATACTGAATACCCAACACATACAATTGAATGAATTTCAACAGAACACGTTGCATGCATCTCTAGGAGAACAGAGGCACGACGTCTTAGCCTAATGGTAGTGTTTACAAGAATAGGAACTCTGCGAAAACATTCAGCAAGCCCCAAATAAACATTGGAGCACCTTGGCTAAAAAACCAACCATTAAGTCATTGCAAATACATAATACATTATACTGCCTGAGACAGTTCATATGGAACCAATATTAAAGTTCAAAACTAAATAATACACTGGTAACTATAATAAATAATGGAAAATTAAGTAACTGTAGTTATACACATATAAGGTGTCAGTTCACTGACAGTCCTAGAAATACAGAAATTTTAGTTAATTACTACGTGAGACTAAATAAAATCAAGGCTTTGCCTTAATAACTCAAGTGAACCATAAAACAAACTAATAACTATATATATAGGGTAAGTTATACTGAACCCTTTTCCCACTATCATGCAATCACACACAAGCACCAACATGAGAGAATTTACTTTACCATCGTTCCCAATATCACTTGTGATCTCATTAACAAATCAACTTTACCCATATGGGAAGTAATGAAAAGTACGTCAGTAATAAAGGAACAAGTAAAACCAAGAGATTCAAGATAAATACATTACATAATCAACAAAACAATTCAATTTCAATATTGGAGTCAGTTCCTGTGCTGCTGACCTCCATTTAGAATCACGTACTTACAATGGCGTAACCACATAATATCCAACGACGAGTTGCAAAGCTAAATTTTCTAAGACTTTAACTTCAATACAGTAATGATATGGAGCAA